AACACTCGAGTGTTCCTCTCCCTCTCAACACTCGATTACTCTCCCTCTCATTCTTCTCCACCTCTGGCCTCTCCCCCTCTTCTTCCCCAACTCCAATGGGCTTACAAGAGGCTTAGGGGAGGCAGGACGGTCAGGAAGTGTGATAAGGACATGAGCTCCATGCATATGACCATGCTTGGAGATAGAGGACTAGGAGATCAGCGAGGGTGTCCTAATAGAGAAGGAGGCCCAAAGCTCATCCGGTTTGAGTCACCAAGGTGGAGGCTCAAATCAAGTTCGAACCCATCTCGGGTTCCAGGACTAGTCTGTCATAAAACTTGTCACACGGGCGCATCCAGGCTCCGTTTTCGACGATCCACATATGGATGGAAAGCTAATTAGATAAGGAAGCCAATGCAAGTGGTATCATGTCAAAAGCCCTTCGAAATCAACAGAAATCGTCGAAACAAGTCAGCATACAGAATCTGCCAGGGTGTTGCGACACCGTCTTTTGGTCCGTTTGACCGTGTATCGTGTTTGGACCCATTAGGGGGCGTGTCCAGGGGGTGACGTCTAGGGCTTTATAATTAGTAGCCGTCGCTCTCCTTAGGGTTTGGGTTTTGTTTAGTTCTTGATTTTCTCATGAAACATGCGTCGTTTTGCTGTAACTGTGCCACCAAGGTCGCTTGCTGTGAACCAGGGCCCCAGTTCTTGATCTTGTTCGATTGTGGCGATTAGTCCTTTCAAATAAAGACTTGAACGCTTTTTTGTTATCATAAGCCGCATAGTTATTTGCAATTTCAGATTACGTTCATCCCGTTCTTGCTTGTGTTCTCGATTCGCTTGCAAGAAAGCCTTCTCGGCGAGGTCAATCTCGTCCACGTGGTTAATAACCAACGGAGCAGTGGTGTAACAGTTGCGAGGGTCCGAATCAGTCTTGGTTCGAAGCCTAGATCATGAACGTCAAATCTCCACCAATCAACGCTATCATACCTATCGGAACATCGGGCCTTGTTTACATCAAGTGGTAGCAAAGACCTTGTTGCCCGTTAGGTATAACTTTATTTTTCCCTTTAGATTGTTACTGTTTTTGCATTACCTATAGTCCAAAAAAGCCACAAAAAATATATACACCTCCACATATTCCATATCCAACAACCCCTTTGTGCTTTGCAATATTTTTAATTTCAGTTTGCTTTGTTGAACTGTCGTTCCTCGCATGTCATTGTGTTCGTTGGTTAATTAGTATTGGTCTAGTGTCCGTCTTCTTTGCTGGCTGAACAAAAAAAAATATCCTAGTGATAAAGTTGGTTTGCCCAATAGATTGGTTTGGTGTTTATTTTGGTCGATCAGATTTACTACAAGTCAGATTTACCATCTACACAAGCTGCTGCTGTGTGCGTAAAAATTCAGGACTCCAAATTTCCTATGGTTGTTCTCAGTACTAGATCTAAAAAAGGAAGGTTTGTTGCCCTTTAGAACACGTCAGAGTAATAATCAACAAGGTGTTTTGTTTGTGGAGTTGCTTTGCTAATGTGTCATCCGCCCATATTGGTGCACAAGCCTCTGCAGTTTTGATCGATTCATATGGTGGTTACATATTAGAGTCATTTGCGGCACTTTCTGTTAAAAAAACAGAGAAACACAAAAGGCAAAGAGGTGCAAAAAAAAAAAAAAAAAAAAAAAACAGCACCAAAAGAAAAAGGAAAGGAAAAAAAGGAAGGTGAAAAAAAAATCAGAAGTGCTTGCATCCTGTTTAGTCCTTGTGCCGAGATATTGTTGCTTGTTGAATTAGGTCCAGGACGAGTCTAGGCTAGCAACATAGACTAGCTTGGGACTACTTTTTAATTTTGCAATTTTTGAATTAAATTATTGCTATTCCTTGCTACTGTATTGTGCCTGTCCAAGCTCCACTTTCTTCTGGCCAAGTACATGTTCGCCTTACAACTGTTACACTCAAGCTACAATGGTATCACAGTCACCGACCGATTGCACCGCCTGTTGCTTTGGTAAGAACACTTGTAAGACCGTGGTAAGACGCTTGAGAGTGTGTGACTTTACTCCTTGACCACATCCTATAGTAGTTGATAGGAAAATACATACTTGTGTGTTTTCTTGTTTGATGCTAACAATGACAGGTTACAACACGTACCGATATGAGACATCAATGATGCATGAGCCACGCACTATTGCTGCTACACCTCCTCCCGGAGTCAATCTATTCTTTCTTCCCCACCTACTTATGATGGTATTAGTGCTGATGAGTACATTGAGTGGGAAACTAAAATAGATAATATTTTTGCATAAAGTTATATGTGTGAACGGAGGAAAATTAAAAATGCAACTAGTGTTTTGAGACAATCTGCATCAACTTGGTGGGAGTCTTTAAGTTTTCAGATAAACCTCACACATGGAATGATATGAAAGATCTTATGAGAGAAAATTTTGTTCATCCATCTCTTGTAATTAATTCAAATGATAAGGTGCATCAACTAGATAAATCTCTTGCTATTCCTCCTGCTATGCCTAACCTTTTGCAGGACAATGTACAAAAGAGCGAGGATGACATGATAGAAAATGAGATGCTCATAGCCTCATGTGAAAATTCAGAACCATCAACTATTATTCCTGCTGAACATGAGAGCAAAGGTAATGCCCATGATGCTAAACTCATGGAAGGTGAGAGTTCTCTTGATGTGCTTAATTTTTCCACCAATCATGCTATGATAGAGCAAATTTTAGTGGGGCCTTCGCTTGATTTACCTTTGTCACAAGATGATTTGCTTGATGTTCCTTGTGATGAAGATGACTTGCATGATGATATTTATGTTATACCCATGCAATCATTGAAGAATGATCATGCTATATGTGTGCTAAAATCGAATACTTGTGCTGAAAATAGACTTGTTATTCATAATGCTAGTGAAGTTGATGAGCTAAAATTGTTGTCTTCTTTAAATACTTTGGGTTACACTGAATTTGATCTTCCGTGTAATCTTAGTTCTTTAGAGGAGAAACTTTATGCATATGCTGATTTTCTATGGTTTTCTGGACATATATATCATATTTTTGGTAAATATAACAACCAAGGACAATATTTGATACAACGAGTTTACATTTGTACAAATCTGAATTCTCCTTTTGTTGTGCAAAGTAATGATCAACTAGAGGATAGTAAAATCAACATGGTTGTTATGCTATATTCCTCTAGTTTTGCTTTTCGAACACAAGTGGAATCCAAAGAAAGGGAGCATATGTTTCGTGTTAGTACTAATCTTTTACAGGATAGTATTGGCAAAGATCGTGTGTATTTCAATCGAGTAGACTACATGTCTGTAGGACAAGACATGCTACAAACCTGCACATGTGGTCATATTCTTTCTCACAACATTGTTCATTCCCATTATTTTGGAAACATCATTTGTCCTCATGTTGTGCAGGATCGACTTCAAGCAAAATCGACGCCGATGATGGCTTTTCATCAAGAAAGGGAGGATGATAAGGACATGAGCTCCATGCATACAACCATGCTTGGAGATAGAGGATGAGGAGATCAGCGAGGGTGTCCTAATCAAGAAGGAGGCCCGAAGCTCATCCGGTTCGACTCACCAAGGTGGAGGCCCAAATCAAGTTCGAGCCCACCTCGGGTTCCAGGACCAGTCTGTTATAAAACTGGTCACACGGGCGCGTCCGGGCTCTGTTTTCGACGATCCACATATGGATGAAAAGCTAATTAGATAAGGAAGCTAATGCAAGTGGTCTCATGTCAAAAGCCCTTCGAAATCAATGGAAATCGTCGAAACAAGTCAGCATCCAGAATCTACCAGGGTGCTACGACACCGTCTTTTGGTCCGTTGGACCGTGTATCGTGTTTGGGCCCATTAGGGGGCGCATCCAGGGGGTGACATCCAGGGCTCTATAATTAGCAGCCATCGTTCTCCTTAGGGTTTGGGTTTTGTTTAGTTCTTGATTTCCTCGTGAAACAGACGTCTTTTTGCTGCAACTGTGCCGCCAAGGCCGCTTGCTGTGAACTAGGACCCCAGTTCTTGATCTTGTTCTCCTGTGGCAATTAGTCCTTTCGAATAAAGACTTGAACTCCTTTTTGTTATCATAAGCCTCACATTTATTTGCAATTTTAGATTGCGTTCATCCCGTTCTTGCTTGTGTTCTCGATTCGCTTGCAGGAAAGCCTTCTCGGCGAGGTCAATCGTGTCCGCGTGGTTGATAACCAACGAAGCAATGGTGTAACAGTTGTGAGGGTCCGAATCAATCTTGGTTCGAAGCCTAGATCATGAACATTGAGTCTCCACCAATCGACACTATCATACCTATCGGAAGATCATGCCTATCTACATCACAATCGGGACATTGAGAGAGCGGCGTTAGGGTTCTAGTGGTGATGGTCGGGCCAAGGCGGGGCGGGGGTGCCCATGGCCATAGCGGTGGCGAGAGGGGGAAGGGGAAGAAAGAGGCTACCATGGGCATGGTAGGATCTTGCCGAGCTCCACGGCGGGACGGTGGGCCATGGCCGCGGTGACACATCATAAGAAGAAAGAAGAGATTGGGCTTAGGATGAGCTATGAGCCGTTGGATGATCAGATCAACGGTCCAGAAATTGTGTGTTTTTCCCTCAAAACATCCGAGTGCTCCCTGGACATATCCATAAAAAATCAAACCATAGGGATCTAGCCCTACACCGATTTGCGTGTGGTGTGCCTACCTGTCACCTTCTCCGTGTTCTCCGGTGCTTCAACCAGCCGCATCCGTCCGTGGACCGTGGTACACGAAAACCTGTTTCGTACATACCCTTTTAGGTGGGTCCAAGGCCTCGACTCAAGCTTGTTAGGCCCACAAGTCGATGTAGTACCTCAACACCCCAGACATAAAGCCTCCCCTGTACAGCATGGAACAACCATCCCTTCTCTGCTCTCATCTTCCCCCGTCCGTCGCCTTCACCGACCCAGCCAAAACCCCAAATCCTCTCTCCAAACCCCACTCACACGCAACGCACCGCCACATCCATGGCCGGCAAAGACGGCGCCGCCCCTCCCCCGCCTCCGCCCCCGCTCCCATCCTACCCTAAGGTATGATTCTCCCATTACATTTATTTCCCGCCGCCAATCTATCCATGCTGCCCTCTGCTGCTCACGGGCATGCCCACCATTGCGACCGTTCGCTCGCGCAGATGATCATGGAGGCAATCCACGCGCTGGGACTCGAGAACGTCTCCAACAAGATTGTGATCTCGGACTACATCAAGGGCAGGTACGGCTCTAGCCTCCCGGTCCAACACAATGCCATCCTCATGGGTCACCTTGCCCGCATGATGGCCACCGGCGAGCTCACCTTCCTAAGGAACAACTACCTCCTCCCCGATGATGACGACGACAAGGAAGCCTCCCCGCTGCGCACCGATGGGCACAAGGACCCTGCCGACGTCGAGGACTCTACTGGCGTGTTGGACGCCACTTCCTTCCTCCTCGACTTTGATGACGATGAGCTGCTTGCTCCCCTATCGTCCTTGACACTGACGACATTGCCGTGCATGCTCTAGCTCCCGTTATCACCGCTGATGTCAACCCGGTTCCTACCAAGCGGGGACGCGGACGCCCCCTGAAGCCCAAGGACCCCGTTGCCGTGGGATCCAGTGGTGAGCCCGCTACAACTCCTGCCGTCGTCGCCGCTGATGCCGTTGTCGTGCCTATCAAGGGCGGGCGCGGACGTCCGCTGAAACCCAAGAACCCCATCGCCGACGACTCAGCTCCCATTGCGGCTTCCGTTGTCACCGTTGATGTTGATGCCAATGCCGTGCCTATGAAGCGTGGGCGCGGACACCCTCCAAGCCCAAGGACCCCATCACTGAGGCCACCGACCGGGCCACCAGTGGCATGCTTAGCCCATGTGCCCGTGGCCATGGCCGCTCGCCCAAGATGGCCAAGGTCGCCATGGACGATCCTAGTGGTGAGCCTACTGCTGCTCCCGGCGTTGTTGCTGATGCCAGTGCTGTACCTGTCAAGCGTGGGCGTGGGCGTGGGCGGCCCCCCAAGGTGAGGCCTGCTGTGGTTGGGAAGCCGTCTGAGTCTTAAACCACGCACGTTGAATCGTGTGATGGTAATGGTTGCAAGGTTTGGGACTTGAGAGTAGCCTGGCTCATCAAATTGAGTTCTACACTAACTTTTGCAGTTGGTTGAATAGTATCGGTTAAAGAGTACTCTCAGTAATCTAGATGGGTTTCTATATATTGAATGGTGGGTGATCTGTAATAGTTGACTACTGTTGAGAGCGATTTAATCAGTGCTATTTTCCTCTTGTTGCTGTGTGCTAATTATGATGATGATATTTGCAATGTTGACGGTGTGGTGACTGTCTCCTGGACCTATTCCTGATCTGTGCATTTTGACTGGTCAAAACAAATGAGTCTGGGTCCAAAGTTTCCGAGATTCACCCGTTTCGGTCAGGTCTGAATTTGTTTTTGCATTTGAATCCCGGGCCTGGTGCAAGCGGTAGAGTCTTACCGTCTGTGATTGGAAGGTTCTAGGTTCGAGTCGTGGTCTCCTCGCATTGCACATGCAAGGGTAAGGCTTGCCACTGACCTCCTTCTCCAGACCCTACACAGAGCGGGAGTTCTCTGCACTGGGTACGCCATTTATTTGAATCCCAGAACCTTGATTCTGTTTTAGTTTCTTGTTAGAGTATGGTGGTGTACTACTGGATTATCGCTGAATTGTTCTAGCATACTGCTTGAGTACAGAATTAGTTCTTTAATCTGTTCTGACTTCCTGGATTATATACTTGTAAAACTTAATTATTTTTTTATCATCAAGTACACAGGTTATTTCGTTAAGGGTGGTTTATAGGAATTGCTTAGGGCTTATCTGTTATGTATCCGCATCTCAGCAAAGATTCAAGTTGGTAATTTAAGGCTCAGTTCAATGCATATGTGATTTGGTTGTTAGTTTCCATTACTATTACACAAACATGTTCAGTGAAAGTAGAATTTTGTTTACACTTTTCTTTTGAACAGGAAGTTGATCATCACTCTGTTGGAGTACTACCAAAAGAATAAAAAATCTAGAGTCTATATCTTGAAGTTTTTCCTTGTCTGTGTGCCCTTAATTAGTCTAGGAGTCATGGCATGGTTGGTTGCAGTATGATATGATATGATATGATATGATTTGTGGTAGGTTCTTGCATTTGAACTATGGTTGGACAACGTGACATTGCAGAGAAGAATTTAGCTTTCATTGTCAATGAATTATCAGTTTGACTTCAGCGTAATGACTGCATGTCAATATATTGCTGCATTGTTCTAGCATGCTGGCTTGATTGTATTTTTTGTAACAACTTGTGCTACTTGCTGGACTATGATAGTAAAGTTGTACTGCTTCTTTGTTTAGGATCATTAAGGCATACATGTTATTTTGGTAAGAGAGGTTTAAATGTATCAGATGCAAAGTGAACTAAAACTCTAGCGCCTAGAGGTGTAGTCATCACTTATTTTCTTACCCATAGTTCATCCCTATTAGACCTCGTTCGCTTCGCTGAAAAAACAAGCCGAAATACTGTTTTGATTTATTGTGAGAGAAAAACACTGTTCCGGCTGAAAAAACAAGCTGAAAGTACGGATTATAAGACAAGCGAATAAGTCAACATAGCGTCAATTTGGATTGTCTGGGTGTGCTTACAGTTGGTATTTTAAGCCTGTGTTCAATGGATATATGATATGGTTGTTTGGCAAGTGCCTTCACTATCACAACTTCATAAGAACATGTTTAGTGGAAATAGAATTTTGTTACCACAGACCTTGAACTGGAAGCTAACCATCTGTCAGAATTAACCCATTAGATATAATGCTTGCGATAGCTTGTTTCTTTTGGACAACTGGAGTATGACACATATTATTTGAAACATTTTCACATGGAGACATTATTGTGTTTTTTTTCAGGTTTGAGTGTCCTTTTTTTGACAAGGGGTTTGAGTGTCCTTGATTAATCTCCTGAGATGTCATGACTGATTAATGTATGATGATACGACCTTGTATATGTGTCCTAAACATGATCCAAGAACAACCATTACATTCTAGTTGAAAAATATCTGCAACTTTTTGTGATCTGAAACATGAATCTGCAATTTTTTGTGAAATTTGAGCATTTATGTATATCTCGCAAATTTCAGCATATAAATTCACATAATCATTTGGACATCTTTTACAATAATGAGTCTGATGATTTTAAGGTTGCCATGCCAGGGTTGAATTTCTTGTGCACTTATGTTTTATGTTGATGAATGTCCATGGCATCATTATCTTTTCCACCCACGCCTTTTCTAGATGAATTTAGTTAGTTTTTTCCCCAAATGTCACCAGGCGTGACTGCGGATCAGCATTTTCTTGCTTATTTTCTGGGCCTGTATAGCAGTTGAAAGGATCAAGATGCCCAAGAGCGGGGTGAATTGGGCTAATTCTAAATTCTTTGCAATAATTAAACCCTACACTTAGCCCACTTCACCCCTTGTGCCTAGAATGTGTTTCTATTGTTCTACCGCACAAAAGTTTTGCACCCTAGGTTCCAATCCACTCTAGCATTGCAATTCTAGGAATGTAAAGACATGAAATGAATTGCTCAAATATAAATGCTCAAAGTAAAGAGAGGGAAAGGAACGCGACGATGTTTTTCCTGAGGTATGGAGAGTCGCCACTCCCCGCTAGTCCTTATTGGAGCACCCGCGCAAGGGTGTAGCTCCCCTTGATCCGCGCAAGGATCAAGTGCTCTCTACGGGCTGATTTTTCGACACTCCGTCGCGGTGAATCATCCACAACCGCTCATAACTTGACTTGGGTCATCCACAAGCTCCGCCGGATGATCACTAAGCTCCCAATCACCACCGAGCTGTCTAGGTGATGGCGATCATCAAGAGTAACAAGCACAAACTCTCACTTGACCACGATAAGCCTAATGAGAAGGGCGGAAGCACACTTGCTACTCTTCTTGCACTAATGAGGACCTTAATCTTGGATTCTCAAATCTCAATCACCTCACTGGGCTCTTGCTCTCCCTTGCACTCTCAAGGTGTTTCTCAGCTAAAGAAATGGGTAAGAGACCTCCCTTGGACGAGTGAAGTAAGAATTTATACCCCCTCATTTAAAACATAACGTTTGGAGTCTGAGTCAGCATTCTACGGGGTGACCGGACGCTCCGATCAGTTATACCCGCCACTGTGTAAGAAAGAGCCATTAAGTTATGATTGGACTCTGACCTACGTCCGGTCAGCACTGACCGGACGTGTCCGGTCAAGAGTGTTAGAAAGAGATGTTAAGTTTTGACCGGACTCTGACCTGCGTCTGGTCAATAAAAACGCTCTCTAGAACCTTATTGATGTTGACCGGACGCTGGCACCCAGAGTCTGGTTGCTTCACTGTTCAACGTTCGGTCAGTTATCGGATCCTAACCAGCGTCCCGGGAAATAGTCTCTCTGGAACCTCTCTGGAGTTGATCGGATGCAAGAACCCAGCTTTCGGTCCACTTTCACTCAGCGTCCGGTTAGTACCAGACGACTTCAGTTAATCAAATGAACTGACCGGACTCACCCTCCAGCGTCCGGTCACAACTAGACCGGCATCCGGTCAGTCTTTTGACCCTCCATTCACTTCCAACTCGAAATCCTATGTGAATGAAGTTTACTCCAATTGATCTTAGGGCTATTCCTGAGCTACCTAGTGCTAAGTTTGACAAGTGTGCACCACACCTAACCCATTAGACTCACCTAGGTCCAGCTACTAGTCCATACCCCCCTTAATAGTACGGCCAAAGAAAAAAACAAAGTCCTAAACTACTCTAAGTGTCTCTCCAACACCAAACGACACTTAGAACTAGTCCGTCCTTAACCTTGTCATCCATCCTTTGAAAACCGAAATGATTTCCATCGTCAGAGGCATGACAACCATGATTGCCCAATCAATTGCCATTACCATGACCTAACTCAAATTGCCTCTATAGAACGCACATTAGTCATAGTAATCTCATGTCATCATTAATCACCAAAACCCAACTAGGGGCCTAGATGCTTTCAATCTCCCCCTTTTTTGTGATTAATGACAACACAACCTTGAGTATGCAGAAGAGATGGGTGAGGTTTTCAACATGCTTGGTTCATATAAGCTTTTGATAATAAGAGCAAATGAGTTAGACATGCTTATATGACCCAAGCCAACATGGTGTACTCAATAGATATGAAGTAAGCATGAGTACATGAAGTAAAGCTCATTTGAATCGGAGTAAAACGCGGAAGCAAAGCAAATGAGCATAACCAAGTGACATGATATATATATATATAAATCAATGTAGAGAGCACACATGTCACATAAGTCTCACCATCACATGTATATAATGCAATGCATGAAAGTAAACATGAATGCATGAAGTCTCACACAAAAGAAATGAATCACATGCTCCCCCTAGATCTAACACTCCTCCTAGATCTAACATACTCGGTCTCTCTCCCCCTTTGGCATCAAGCACCAAAACCTAAGGGTCAGATGGCGGGACAGGAGCAGTC